GGCTACATTTCTAGGCATTTGGTCATGTGATCTCTATTGAGCAGAAGGATCAGGCAATCTGGACTCCAAGCCTTTCTTTGATCCAAGATCATGTAATCAAATTTGTTTATGTGGCTGGTGGGATCCTGAAGCAATAGTTACTGTAGTAATGGTATTTGTGTTATATTTTACACATGTCCAAGAAGGGTGAGTTATATAACAATGTGTGGATAAGTGCTAACCACTCTCGCCAAGGTCCTGATTCCTAGCTAGGACACTATTCTTCCTAAAAGAATGCTAGTAAGCCAATTGGCATCTTGTCTGAATTTTCCACTACACTATGACCAGTATTAAGAGCTAGCAATCAAGCTAGCAATTGTGCCACACAAAGGCTACTCTTAAAATCAAGAAAATGTCTGGCCAATACACCCATAAACAGGAAAGGGCTCCTGATAGAACTAAGAAACTAAAATGGGATGAAAATATGCATATTTGGGAAGAGCTGGACATTTTTGCGTATTGCCCAACGATAGAAATTATGCAAAATGAAGCAAATTTATAAACTCTTCCTTAAATATGCAAAAAATTAAATATCACGGTTTAATATATACAAAGCATCATGCAGTCCTGTTACCAGTAGAACATGCAGTAAGGGACAGGTGTCAGGAATTAGCAGTACAGACTAGAACTAATGCCACGGGGATTCATCTGAGCTGCAGCTAAAGGACTGGAAGGATTAATATAGTATGTCCTAAAATCACTGTGATCTTTGTTTAACATGGAAACACTCAAATAGTGACATATAAGCATCTATCAGCAAAGCAAACATGTATAGCTGTACGATCATGCTAATAAATAAATCTTTAACAATAACCAACCTCTTACAAAGCGTTAAAAGACAGCAGGGAAATGTAAACGCTATATGCAATATGTCATATCTTTACTGTAAGTGAGGTAAGTGGTATTTATGGAACTGCAGCCCACTGTTCTATGCTAAACGCCATTTCAGAGTAAGTAAAGTTTAAAACTAAGAACACAGTGTTCTCCTCAATGGGAGTACAATGCAGGATGTGAATTGAGTGTTCCAATGTTTAAAGTAAAAAATAAATAAATTAAAAGTTTACATTGGCAGGTTACATTCTTGAAAATGTACCTATGTGACAACATAGGTACAGCAGTTCTAGACATGGTCATGTACATATACTCGGCACACATGACTTTGGAGTGACTTTAAGTTCAAGCACACAGCATTAAGCAGCCACCCCTAATACTCTTCCATTCCCCAACTTGGACTTCAGGCTCAAAGGCACCCCAGATTCCTGATTCTTAGCAGTCAGTCAGTTTTGCTTTCTGGCAGCTAATAAGTTAACTAATTAAGCATACAAACAACTCGAAGGCTTGTGCCGGTAACAAATGAGACAGTCAATTCACATGTAACTAGCAAGCACACTCTCTTGTGAGAACCTTTGGCCATCTAAGAACCAAGATATTAGTGTCATATTTAATTATTTAAAAAAAATAAAATTATGTTATAAACAAGATATACTGAGAACTTTGAGCAATTCTGAGAATAATAAGGTATCAAAATATAAACACATTAAAAATGAGTGGTCAAGCAAACTTTTGGCCCAGGGGTACAAGAAGAAATGGCATACACATCCGGACTATGGGAAGAACCCAACGATATATTAACTTATGCCAAGCTAGTTTAAGAACTATATAGAATTGTGAAGGGAATCAGGTAATAGACTTCATGGGGTTGATCTACTAAAGGCATATAGGCTGTTCACTTTGCAAGGGAATTTGCACTTTGCAGGGGAAGTTTTCTTTTAGATTAGTGAATATGGTGAGAATTCACTTTGCAAAGAAAACCAAAACATGTGCACAGAAACTTGAAATAACAGTATTTCTGTTTCCATACTCACTAAACTATGGGTAAACGTCATGTGCAAATTGCAAATACCCTTGCAAAGTGAACAGCCTATCTTTAGAAAATCAAACCCCCATCAGTAATCAGAGCAGAGGGGCACACTATTTGTGTAACAAGTTATTTCTTTAGCAGAAATAAATGGTACAAATGTTTATACAAATCATTTAATAGCTTTAGATGGGTCAGTAGCTGTTTATCTTGTAGTAATTCAATGTTTGTGTTCCTCATACAACTTAAAAAAAGAGTGCTTTTAGTTGTGTGAGCACAAAATATACAGTAAATGTATCAGCTTTAAATATTTACATGCACCCAGCTTGGCCAAATTATGCCTGGCAAATGAAACCCACGTATTGACTTAAGTATTATTTATGTTATGGAGAAATTATTTTGATAATTGCTCTTAATTAGGAGACACACTGGGCTTTCTTTTGATGCTAGGCATTAAAGCCCGTCTCCTGGGAAACAAAAGAAGTACCCTTGCAGTAGGGCTAATCCCACACTGCAAGGGTTCAGTGCTCCTTTTCCTTTAGGTTCTGCAGTAAAGCAGGTTTCCTCACCTGAACCCTGTTCCCCAGGTGATCAGTGCTCTTCTCTTCTCCCCCTCTGCTCTGGCTGGTGGCATGTCCCTCACATCTAATGCAGGTCTATGAAACCTACATTAGACATGATGACATCAGAGGTCCTTCAACTGCCAAGGGGAGAAGAGGCTGCAGGGACTAGTCTGGCAGGCCTGATGGAGCCAGGAGGAGCGGGGATCACATGAATAAATCTGCATAATATAATATGACACTTGTCAGGATACAATGTCAAATTGTGATGTCTCCCTCACACAGACAGAAGCTACCTTTGCTAGGGAAGGTGCTCACTCATATGTCTTATAGAACAATTTGCTAATGCTCACTGTGAGGGGTGTTACAATGAACATATAATCACGCTGACTGGTGCCTGGATAGTATAGCTGTCTTGGTGAGAAAGGGATGGCACGATGCAGTGGGAGAGCAGGGCGGTAAGTACAAATGCTTTGAGACGCCTGCTGTTAAGCAAACTTGTTACCTAGACAAGTTCAAACATGTATGTCTCAGTGATGTCACTAGTTCATTGTAATATTCTCACAACATTTTAGTCTAAGACACACAAATACTGTTTTTGCTCTGTATGAACAGCAGGTAGGCTTTGCTGGTTATTAATCTGAAACAGGATCTCAAAGTGGTGAAAAACTCCCATCTACATTGCATCGTTTCTAGCTCATAATTCCTTATTTAATTGTTAATGCATCAGTAACTGGCACCACCATCTCGTATAAAATAACCAAATGGCAAAAGGAACATATTTACACCTAGAATAGCTCATTCCCTCCAGCCAAACATCATAACAAAATCTAAATGGCACCAGGGCTGACCTTTTCATACTTCAGAGAATTTCAGCAATGCAGTTTGATGCCTCTGGCTAAGGATTAATTTTAACAATCTATCCACGGTCAACGACATGTGCTTCAAAAACAAAATAAAAATGACTGCAACATTGGAGCTTTAGTGAGAGCTAAGGTTCATAAATCTAATTGTAGTCTAATAAGCTGAATCCTTTAGGAAGCCTCTAGGGAGACAATAAAAGGGGCTTTACAAAGTCAACAAACTCTGCAGTGGCTAGTAAATGCTGTGTATACAACAAAGTGTAATATGAAACATGCACACACTTTTTCCAGCACTGCACAATTAGCATCTTCCAAGAGGAATAGGGGGCTAGGGCGGGAGAGTAGAACCTGCCACTTGGATAGTGCCCAAAGACTACTGTATTAATAGATCAACAACCCAAGGGCTGCGTGAAACCTTTAGATATAAAGTGGTACCTCTTCAGGCAGATTCTGTACCAGGCCTCTGTTGAAGGTATACCGCTTCTTGAGTGTGTTGTTCCTTTGAGGTAGGTTGTTTGAACTAAGGCACAGGCTAGAAATGAAAAACAAAAACCTGCGCTTATGGGCGAAGAAAACAAGAATAACCGGACTTGCTAGACTAGCTGCTAACAACTTAGGCGGTGGGCCTTACAAATAGATCAATCAAAAATATAGCGCTTACAGCCTCACGGTGTTAGATTTGTTGAAAATAATCCCACTCGTGCAAAAGTTTATTTGTTCATACTTTTTATTTTTCACATACTGTGATAAAAAAAAACAGTATTATCCAAGAAACCTAATCAGATTAATTATTGCATCAATCCAGTGCCCCCATACAGCCTCAAGGTATCTACAGCGGACAGAACCCTCATCAAGAACATCATATGGTTGGTATATCTGCCTCTCTTCCTTACACTCCCAATACTCAGCACAATCTTTGAGTGGTGAAAACAAGTGGTGAAAAGTGGTGGTTTCTCTTCTTTGGAAAGAAGGGACTGACATACTCACAACAACAGTGCATCACATTTAGTGGCTGAACTAATAAATTATTAAATTTGTAATCCTGGTCAATGACATTGATTGGTTGCTGTGGGCAACAAAAGATTTTCATGCAGCACACATTTATTATACCACCCCTTAGGTTTCAGGTAAACACACAGTAAACACACAACTGCAGCCTTTGCTCTGCTCCCAAACTTTTCACTCCTTTTCTGGTCCCATTTCTCATTTATTTTTCTAGGACCTCCCTCAAGCTGCTCCTATCTTCTGAAACCCTGTCTCAAGGCCATCAATCATCAAGCCTCTAAGCTGTACAAACTCTCTTAAAACCCAACTTTATAGAAAAGCATAAAAAATCGTATTCTGATTCCTATGTCTCCCACCAACTGATGTCCCTGGACTTTTCCCATTACTACACTGTAACCTATAACGCAACTTCTGCTGCCAAATTTCTTTACCTCTATACATTTCCTTTTATAGTGTAAGCACATTGGGAGTGCTATAAACTAACAGTAAGACGAATAAACATTTTTAGACTTGTACTAGTAAAATGACAGCTGGAATCTGATTGATTGCTATGGACAAAACAGACAAGTTCTCTTTGATGTACATATAAAAAAATAAACATTTATTAATCATCGCTATAAGAAAGAAAGAATTACAGCAATTTAAAAAATATATATTCATTTACTCTTTAAATACCTGCTGTTTCTGAATCCGCAGATGGCATTTCTCCATTAATGCCATTTTCCTTGCTTCTAGGATGGGAGTCTCGGAGAGCCCGCTCCCCATATCCTCTTTCTTCTGACTCTCGGAAGGGAATACCATTTGAGCTGTGGACTAACCCATCTCCTGCTCCTCCTTGTTCCTTCATGTCTGTGGCATGAGGGAGAGGTGAGGCCTCAGTGAGCTGCCCTGGTGCCCAGTGCGATGGATTGGGCTCATCCTGCCTGTTATCCGTCATGCTTCCTCCAACCACAAACCTGCAATCACAGACAAATAATTGTGAATTTATTTTCAGTAGTTACATTGCAACACATATTGTATTGTACTGGCTTATTGTACTTTATGGGGTACAATAAGCCATTTATATCAATACCCGTTCCAGAGGATTTTACAGTACAATGTCTTTAAAACAGGCATATATGCACACAAGGGTCAATTAGTTTGAAAGCCAATTATTCTACAAATATTTTTTGAGATGAGGAAAGAAACCCACAAAGAAAAACAAAATGCTAAATAATTGATATTCCCTGATCTGGCATCGGTAAGCAGAAATTTGATTGCCTGCAATGGGCAACTGCACATTAGCAATGCCCTTTTTAATGTCTTATTGATTAAGAGAGTATATTATGGTTATTCCAAGAATAGCATAGAGTGGCATTTTGATTATATTTGTATAGGTATTTTAAAACCAGATATGATCAGATTGGGAATCAATTGGCAATGTGTAATAAGGTAGTTAGCAGTAAATACCTTGACATCCCCTCCCCATTTACACACAAATACCCTCACAAAGACAAATACCTGTAGATAGCATTCAAAAAGGATTGCTGTTTTGTTATGTTGAAAGAAATTCAGGGTAAAGCATCAATTTAACAGCTGCTCCACCAACAGCACATACTCCCCTTCACTTTGCTGCTTCTGCCTTTCCAGGTATGGGCCGGCATGTGACTAACTTTCTTCTCTCCCATGTGACAACACTGATGCTTGGTGATTGATACCATAGGCACCCAGTGCTATCATATGGGGTGGGGAGAGAGTGCTCTGCAACTTTGGTGGGGAAGCAAGGCAAGTATGTGCAGCTAGTTGGGCCATGCAGAATAAAGCAACATGTTCCCTTTAATTTTATTGTATTATGTGACAAAGGAGTGAATTAATAGCTGTGGATATATCACAATACACTTCCTAAAAGTATTTCTCAATATTTGAGAAGCATTTGACTGCTTGACCTAAGGACTGCCCCTTTCTGTCTACAAATCTGTAAATAAATTAACTTTACAAAAATATGACATAGTAGCATGAAATAACAAAACAAAAATAACAAATCACAAAAATGATTTCCAGATAAAACAAATACAGCAAATACATGTTGAGCTCCATTTATTTGGTTTGGGAGCTGTACAGGCTATTGTGAATAGCCGGTACAGCACCCCTTCGGTTCTACTGAACCGAAGGGGTCCTGGGGCCGAAGCTAGCCAAAGGATCGGCCGAAGCTACGGCTAGATCCTTCGGCTGCTTCGTGAATAGACTCCTCTGTGTACATTTCTGGCATATGTTTTTTAAAAATACCTCTGAAAAGGTGGAAATGGGCTTTAAGGTTTGTTGCTAAAAGCAAGCCTGTCAGTCATTTACAATGTTAAACAAGTCCTAACTAACAACAGGTGCCATAAGGAGGATGCTTTTACCTTTGTTAGCCACAAAAGGCTAACCTGTGTGCCCCACTGTTTATAGTTTCACTTTGTTACTAACGGCCAGGCTTTCACAAATTTAGAGATACAAAGTATCTCTAAATTTGTAAAATATATAGGCTGCTAGCATTGAGCTCTAGTTCTGCCAATGCTAGTTGCCCACCTGCCATACTAAACCTCTGGCTTAGCAAATAACAAGTTCTGATGTATATCTGACTTTCCTGATCTTTCCTTGTTCAATGTCAGATGTCAAACCCAGGCAAAGCAAAGGAAGCCTCCAAATTAATCTTATGCTAGGTTTCCTTTAACCTCACCATGGTCCTAAGCCTTGTGCTCCCCAGAAGTAGGGTTTAGCTTTAAGTCATAGAACTCAAGTGCTTAGTAACCAAATGAAACCAGTAACACAAGGGTGCCCATTAGCAATCACAATGCACTATCTGTTCTTAACCTATACCACCCAATCCTGTCATAAATCCAGTGAGCTCATAACTACCCTTGTTCTCTGTCTGTGCTGCACTGAAACCCCATGGAGTCTCAACAGCCCTGCTAAGTTCTACTATGTAAACTGCAGAACACATCCCCCATGGGTTATGGAAGAAGGTGTTTTAAGTCAAAATCAGCAGCTGCTACTTCATAGATACAGTTCAGTGAGTAAATGTTGTCACCGTAGGACAGGAAGTGTGTTACTAGCAGGATCACCAAGTGAAAATAAAGGCAAAAAAAGATGAAGAAGAAAACTAATGCAGCCACTGGTTGATGGGTTAAATTATATTTAATTCATAATGACCAGCCTACTAAATGTGATACTTCCTGCTGCTAAAAAATAATCCAGTCTTTCTATATTAAGTGTACAGGATTCTGCATGCCAAACAGAAGCAGAACTGTAGTTCACAACAGAGTATCATTGTTCCTGTTATTTTCAAATAAATCATTCCAGTTGCTCCTTATTGAGCTCCAACAAACGCTCTATTTTTAGGACAGTTAAGCACTTTGCAATAAGTCGAGACATTTAGAGTGTGGCCTGGTGAAAGGGCTGTATTGTATGGCAAGAAAGGAAGGGGAAAGACACTATTACACTATTTCAAGTCAAATGAATGTTGATTCTATTCATCTTTCTGAGCACAGTTCTCCATTCAGCAAGCAGGTACAATATTAATTTGCTCTCTTTGCACACTATATAATGTATGCTGATTGATTACTATATTTACAAAAGATATTTAAAGCGACTGTAAATTTAGAGTAAAGTGTTGTGAAGAGAACATGAGAAAAAAGGGGACTTTCCATTTGGAAGGTCCACTTTAACATGTTAAAATGCAACTAAAGCCAAAACCTTTTTTTTTTTTTTAACGTTTTTGGATAAAATGGAGGGTGATTAGTACCCCTGTCAGGTTTCTATTGCTATCCGTGTCTTCGCTAGGGAGAGTCACCCTCTCTAATTTGTCCTGGTGGAATAGATGGGGAATCTTCCAGTGGGGACACTAGTTCTCGTGACCCTGTTAACCAACAGGGATTTCCATCACGTTACAACCCTCTCTTTCTCTATCCAAAGCATTAAAAAAAAGTTTAGCTTCAGTTCTACTTTTAAGCTTATATGAGATGTTATGGTTAGATCTGTTTTAAAATGCTTTAGAATCTTTGCTCACATATTCGTTCTGTATTCCTAATGGTAAGGACTAAATTACAATTTTAAAAAGTATGTTTCCTTTTTAAGTCTGGTAACTATTTCAAATACTGAATATTGCTATTCTGCATTCCCCTAAAACCATAAATTAGGCTCATTAGGCTTTTTTTTCTCAAATTTTCTAAACCTAATTTGATCAGTTTACAAAACTCAAAAAGCAGATTGATTAAAGGAGTAGAACATGTTCACTTTTAAAATGAATGTTCACTGAGATTAGTAAATACGGTGAAGCTTTGTTCCCTTTGATGATTAGGTAAACTTGTGCTGGATTTAAACATCCAGTTATGGGCAAGGAAAAATCCAGTTGTTTCAGTTTTCCTTGCACATGGTTGGGAATTCTTTTTAGGCTTTAGGCTTTATACACACGAATCGGCCGTCACGTACAGCTTCGTGCTGCGTGCGGGGCCGTAACAAGCAGCTGCCAGGAAGGACAGGTGCTGCATGTGATTAGTACGCAGCCCCCGTCCTTCTCTATGGGGATACGCGGCCGTACGTCCCCCTACGCTCACCTCAATTGCAGGTCCGTAGGGGTGCGGGGGATCGTATTCATACACCGCCGGAATGGATCCTGTATGCGTCCCGGACAGAAAACCCACACCCCTACAGCCTGCAATTGAGGTGAGCGTAGGGGGGCGTACGGTCGCGTAGCCCCATAGAGAAGGACAGGGGCTGCATACTAATCACATGCAGCACGGAGCTGTACGTGCTGGCCGATTCGTGTGTGAATGGGGCCTCAAAGTGAATGTCCCTCTGTTTTACCTTATGCACTAAGATACATTAAAGTTTGCTTTGAAAGTGAAAAGGCTTTAGTCAGGGTCATAGTGTATGCATATGTCATCTTTCCAATTGGAATTTGAATTGAAATGAACTGTTCATTATCTAGGTGGGCCAAATATGGGCAAACAGGGTTTCTTCAGTCAGGAGTGGGGTTTATTATATAGAAACATCAACAGGTATACAAATGATGCAATGAGGCTGCATTACAATTTCAATAAATTAAGGATTTTAACTTTAATTTAGGCTGTTTGTGATGTATGGACAATTCTTCAACACCAGCAAATTCTATACTAACACTGTAATGCTGCAAATACTTTAACTTCCATTGTCCCTGCAGGCTGTACAAAAACATAAGACTGAATTATTCTAAAGTCTACTGTGCCGTTACAAATTCAGTTGCCAAGCACCCCTAGTGGGAGTTAAGAGATAGGAGAAGGGTTTTGCATTAGGTTGAATGAGAACCATATCTCTCTTTCTCACTCTAGTGGAGGCCAAGAGCATCCACTTCCCTAGCAGAGCAGAATGTACATAGAAGCTTGACAAGCTACAGGCTATGATGAAAGGAACACAATAAACTATTCTATAAAAAGCAAGTCAAGGCATCTTTGGCTTTGAAAGTACAATTCTCCTTTAAAAGAAAACAAAACATACTAACTTCCTCTGAACTGATAATGCTTTTGTTATGAGTTATGGTTTCCTACAAGAGCTCAACTATCCTTGGCCATAGTGCACCTCCTGATTCCAATCATCCCTGTAACCTTATTGATTTAATCCAACCACGATTCTCTGGGTTTTATAATATGTCTTTTCACCTAATCTTGCCTCCTACAATTTCTTTGGCATACGATCTTTAGTAAATTATTTTGATATGACCATCCCATTTTAGATGTGTATTGTCACTATTATCTGGTATCCTCATATATTTCATAGAACTTACTATATCCAGACCTCCACAATCACCATTCAATATACCTCTATATAATCCCCTAAATGCATTATTTTCATATACATCAAGGCAACATCACAAACACAGCTTATTTCATAGCTATGGAATCCAATAACTTAATGTACTTCCTAATTGACCATCCAATTGGTTCATTTGTCCCACTTATCT